TGTGCGGAACACCATACTAAAGTGCATCTCGTAACTGGTTAAGACCGCACAGCCAATCCAATGTATGCATTTATATGATGCACCTTTTACATCTTGGTCTTTATTTGCAGATGCGAGAAGACCGAAGTCCTTTTGGTGGTATACGTTTTGGAATATGATCTCTGGCTTCTGCATGGATGTTAATGTGCAAATGTAACTTTGAAACTTTTTAAATGGTGTTAGAGTTTTGAATGCATTTCTGTTTGGATGGATGTCTTCAATAAAAGTGTGAATAAACCTTAACTTGTGGTGTGCATGGCTATCAGGTCACTATTGTTTGATTTATACTGGAGTGGTGCTACACTTCATTAATCAGTGTAATTGTGGTGGTTTAACTTCATCAATTGACTTGATTTGCAAAAACCTGCTTAACCTTAGTTTGCTAGCAAGTGCTTTAACATATGGCATACGTCCAGTATTGAGTGTGGCCGCTGAGCTAATAGACCGTACATTGTATAAACCCACCAGTCTACACGGATCCACTCGCTTCTGACTGCAGGAAGACCGGGTTGCGGAGCCCGTTACATGCTACTTCCGGATTATTACTCCTGCTCGCTTTGTGTAGTTCATCACCCGAATGATATTTCGGAGCGAGTTTTCATAGATTCGCGTGTGTCTGAAAGACGAGCTCTTCGTATAAGCTCTGAATCAAATGCAAGACGTTTCTAGACAAGTGCAACTGTTGGATTTACGCTTTTAAATGAGACTTGTAAGGTGAGTAAACGTGCCGCCGTCGGTGGCGTAAATGTCTTCAGTTAGCGATAGGTCTGTACGTAGCGAGTAAGCTTATTGTCCGAGGTGTCGTTTTTTTTGTTTGTTTTTTTGCTAGAGCTGTCCTGTAATGCGACACCCACGCGCCACAGAAAAGCTAAACGTTTCATGCACGGAAAAAAGACATATTTATCGCTGGACTTAATACGTGTCGATTCTTGAAAGTCAAGGAATGCTGTTGTATGATGATTTCCTGTGAGTGTTGATCATTCTCACAAAAAAATCCGCGATGGTCCCTGAAGAGGTTTGCGTGCTGACTGATGTGTTTGAGGGAGTGGTAGAAAATACGGTGTTTTGATGCTTGGCGAACAGCTGTGACTTGAAATTCTACCGTAAACGTTCACCTGAAGCATATAAGATCAAACTCGGGGATTTAGTAACGTGTACGAGTAGTTAACATCTGGATCCGTTTGGTTCGTTATCCCTGGCTTGGCTTCGAGAGGATGTGCTAATAGGAAGAGACATTTTGAGTGATGTTGGACTGACTCTTGCGGTTTCAAGTTAAGATCGTTTAGGCTCAATGTTTATGGATTCATGACATTAAAAAAAAATACAGTAATTAAATTAATACGGGCAATGAATTGAAATGTCTGTCTAGGCAGGCTACTAGAAGGAATTAAAAAACAACAACGCTAGGTGTAGCTGTGTGTGTGTATATGTATTTATATATAGATCTAACAAATATTTTATAGTTACATCAGTGTTTAAAACAAAATATTAGGCCAACATCTCTAAAAGATTATTAACGGCATTGTTTTCTTTTGAATATTTTAGTGAATGCTGAGTCAGTGACCGTCAGTGTTACAAGTAACGCGAGTTACGTAATCTGATTACTTTTTTCAAGTAACTAGTAAAGTAACGCATTACTTTTTTAATTTACAAGAAAATATCTGAGTTACTTTTTCAAAAAAGTAATGCCAGTTACTTTGTTTTCCCATTTATTGACTGAGTCTCCTGTCCCTATATTGGGAGAAATCGGGAGTACAGAGGCACTGTGTGCGCTGTGTGAACATGATGTCCCATTCACAAAAACACAGATTTAGAATTCATCAAAATGAATTCAACCAGTGAAATGCAAACTCAGAATATGACACAAACCTGCAATAATTAAATTTGTTAAATAACACAAATGTATCTAATCCCATTTTATTAACCAATATCTTTGGTGCTGACTTTAAGCAAATAAGCAAAAATGACTTTAGAGAAACTAACAGTTGTGCTTTGTTTTTTTATTGCTGAAGAGTGTTTCTTCTCCTGCGTTCTACTGTACAGACGTTAATTTACTTTTGCTTCAGCCTGAGGTTTATTCATTACACTTTTTGGTGTGAAAGGGCTTTTATATTTGCTATAAATGGAACTTCTTATATTAAAAACAATCAAGCCCTGCTTATATTTAAAAAGTAACGCAAAAGTAATATAACGCATTACTTTCCATAAAAAGTAACTAAGTAACGTAGTTAGTTACTTTTTTAGGGAGTAACGCAATATTGTAATGCATTACTTTTAAAAGTAACTTTCCCCAACACTGGTGACCATAATGAATACAAGAACAAATTTAGGCAATGTTCTCTGGGTTATTAACAATGGAAATTAGGACAGATATTGGTTATATGTGTTGAACTAGATGTGGTCATTAAGAATCACATCCATGCAAGTCAGATCAATTTTGTTTGACCTAATTGCAGATTTCAGTCTATAGCCTACTGTGGTCACACAACTGCTGTTATTCTTTTTATTGTTCTGGCAATAGCTTCTCCATAAATCTCTTTCGCAACCCCTCTAAACATGAACATGTGTGACGGACATTTAGAAACATTATGTAATATTCATCCTAGTTAAAGTGCAGTTAGTTGTACTACATTACTGAATTGGCACATAATGTCCATCTCTACATCACATTTCTTAGAACACTGTTTATTCTTCTGGAGTTTCTTGGCAGAAAGATGACGTATATGGTTTTGAATTCAAAGTGACACTTTTGTGGTACAAGGGAGGAAGAAAAAAAGAAACTACGCACAGCCTCATTCCTTTTCCGTACCAGTCTCATGTTTCCATGACAACCGTGACATCAGCACTCTCTCAACGGCTCTGGTGTGTAAGGATGAAAGACTCTTCTGCTGTGGTTCTCCATGGTTACCAGCCACTGCCTGCCAACTGCAAAAGTTATTAGTTATCAGTCAAATGATAATTTGACCTATGTGGTGACTAACTCATTATCAATTACAATAAAACAATGCAATAATGCATGTATTTAATTAAAAAAAAACACAAAATCATATCTTTTCAAATCAAGTTTTTCTATAATTTTATTGGAAAAAGCTGATTTTCATTTTCATGCATCAGTTGCATCTGTATATCATGTCGAAGTAAGTGAAATGTGTGGTGACATTAGTAACCATAACAATAGGCCTATATGTTGAGTTACAGAATTGTTTAATTTTTTATAGAAGTGACCATTTTAATTGAACCGACTTTGTTAAACAACACTATGTACAGGTGCATCTCAATAAATTAGAATGTCGTGGAAAAGTTCATTTATTTCAGTAATTCAACTGAAATTTTGAAACTCGTGTATTAAATAAATTCAGTGCACACAGACTGAAGTAGTTTAAGTCTTTGGTTCTTTTAATTGTGATGATTTTGGCTCACATTTAACAAAAACCCACCAATTCACTATCTCAACAAATTAGAATACTTCATAAGACCAATAAAAAAAAAATGTTTTAGTGAATTGTTGGCCTTCTGGAAAGTATGTTCATTTACTGTACATGTACTCAATACTTGGTAGGGGCTCCTTTTGCTTTAATTACTGCCTCAATTTGGCGTGGCATGGAGGTGATCAGTTTGTGGCACTGCTGAGGTGGTATGGAAGCCCAGGTTTCTTTGACAGTGGCCTTCAGCTCATCTACATTTTTGGTCTCTTGTTTCTCATTTTCCTCTTGACAATACCCCATAGATTCTCTATGGGGTTCAGGTCTGGTGAGTTTTCTGGCCAGTCAAGCACACCAACACCATGGTCATTTAACCAACTTTTGGTGCTTTTGGCAGTGTGGGCAGGTGCCAAATCCTGCTGGAAAATGAAATCAACATCTTCAAAAAGCTGGTCAGCAGAAGGCAGCATGAAGTGCTCCAAAATTTCTTGGTAAACGGGTGCAGTGACGTTGGTTTTCAAAAAACACAATGGACCAACACCAGCACAACACCAATGGACTCACAATTTGAGTTGAATTACTGAAATAAATGAACTTTTCCATGACATTCTAATTTATTGAGATGCACCTGTACTTTTAAGTATGCTTTAAGTAGGTAATGCTAAGTTCTGCATTGCTTAGCTTCACTTCATCCCTTATTTTCTAACACTTTATTTATTATTATTATTTTTTAGATTTATGAACAGTCGTGCACCATCTAATAAGAGATATCAGCCAACAGAATATGAGCATGCTGCTAACTGTGCCACACATGCGGTGAGTTGTGTTTACAATCTTAAAGGAATAGTTCACCCAAAAATGAAAAAAATTTACTCACCCTCAGGCCATTCAAGATGTAGATGAGTTGTTTCTTCATCGGAATAGATTTGGAGAAATGTAGCATTACATCACTTTCTCACCAATTGATCCTCTGCAGTGAATGGGTGTCGTCAGAATGAGAGTCCAAACAGCTGATAAAAACATCACAATAATCCACATGTTATCCACATGACTCCAGTCCATCAATTTAACGTCTTGTGAAGCAAAAAACTGTGTGTTTGTAATAAACAAATCCATCATTAAGTTGTTTCTAACGTCAAGCCATTTCTTCTTAACGATATAGGAATATTTGTGTACCTGCAGCATAGAATTAATGAATAAAAATAGCAGCAGATGATATTATTTATTATGCTTTTGGGGGTGGGGGTGTGTGAAGATGACTTTTAAAAATGTTCAAATAATGTAGTAGCCTGTGTTAATGTTTCTATGAATTGTTTTAAGTATGGATTGCCGAATTACCTGTCTGCACAACAAATTTACCTTCGGGTATAAAGAAACCTTGAACCTTGAACAGGGCTCAACAATAAGGACTACCCGAAAGACGGGACAGTTGGCGGATTTGTCACTCGCCCGATCGAGCCACTGCCGCGTCGTCACAAAAAGTTTATCATTTGCAATGTTTTTAAGCCTTGCTAATTAAAAGAACAAAAAATTCAAGCAATTTAAAAGCATTTCAGCAAGGCGTAAAGACAAATGGAGCGTAGCGTTAGTTCTGGCAGGTCACGTTAGTCAAGCTCGCATCAGCTGACACTCAGCTGATCAACATCTACCTATAGGAATACGACACCAGTCATAATTCCCTTTATAAGGTCCTTTCAGTCATTATTCAGCAGCTATCGCTTTGCTCAAGAGCTAATCACCCACCTCCATCCCCAACTCCTCCTCTCGTCCAGTCAGGACTTGGCATTGGATATTTATTTTTGAGTCAGACCACTGAATTATGTTCATATATAAAATAATCACTTAGAACATTGATGATATCTGCTACATTAATCATTAATGTTGGTTCTGTTCAGTTTACCCTAGGGGGGTTATTTATGCTCTCCCTGCTCCTATCCATGCTAGGCTGCATGGATGGGCAGGGAGTGTTGCCCAGAACAGAACCATAACCCCAACCTAAAAATGTATGCTAATTGTAAGTTATCTTTGATGATAGTGGTCCTGACAGAACTCCATTCAGTAGCTACTGTCTGTCTACAGCTGCGTCTCTGACGCCCGAGCCCCGAGTTTAGTTTCTTTCCGCGTCTTTCTTGCGTTTGAACGGACAAATAGGCCTACATAAAAAAAATTGTCAAAATACCCGTCTTGGCGAGTAACTTTGTAGCTTTAACAATTATTAATCTATATTTAATTTATACAGTGAAGTAGAGATGCACCGATTGACTGGGCATTTTTTTATTTCAGACTATCTGTTCCATGCTTGCACACAGACTACATCGCAATATTTTTTTCAAAATGTAATTTGTATGGAAATATTACTTTAATATTATAATAAATTTGGTCTTTAAACGGCCGTTAACAGAGGTCAGAGACGCTGAAGACGGACGCAAAGAGGAGAAAATACTGTTGCAGGCATAGCAGCTCCGTTCGCGAAATATAGGAAGAAAATCCTAAATATTGAATTTTATATGGATGTGTTTCTGAGGGGAACTGACTGTTTTCAGAAAAGTTTACATGGCGCCATGTCAGGCGCCACCTGCTGTCAGAGAGTGAATCTGCATCTCATTCAGAGCTTCTGCTGTTTCTGTCTCGTGCAGAATTTTTATGTAGCATAATTTCACAAAGCTAAAGTCAGGCTATTCTGTTTTTGCTTCAAATTTTGAAATTATACAGTTTAATTTATACAGTTAATGTCATTGATGAACATGTTGTATTTAAATTATCTGTGACTGTATTTTATTCTCAGCTCTGGATCTTTCCCAGCATTGTGGGTGGGATCTTGTTGTACCTCTTATCTGATGACCACTGGGAGGAGATTTCAGCATGGCTGTATGGAGCGGGACTATCAAGCCTTTTCATTATATCCACAGTTTTCCATACTGTCTCCTGGAAAAAGTCTCATCTCCGGTAAGGCTTTCATATGAGCCAAATCAGCTTTTTGATTAGTACATTTCAGTCTGTGTAATGTGAATCCAGACACTTGAACATGAATGTCTTTCTAGTGAGCTGCAAGTGTGTTTTGTTTCGTGTCATGAATTTGAGCTTGTGTAGCTGGAAGCATTTGTGTGTACTTGTGTTCATATCATCTTTCAGCCCTAACTGATAATCCAGCTTTTTACCCGTTATTAATTACACATGTACTTGAGAAGTGAAATCTAATAAGTGCTGCTTTACTTTTTAGATCAGTTGAGCACTGTTTCCACATGTGCGACAGGATGGTGATCTATTTCTTTATTGCAGCGTCCTACACACCGTGGTGAGCTCATGTAATTTGTGTTGGGCTGTCATAAATTGACACAGAGTTTCGGGCGGGGAGATGGATAACAGTGTAAAGACCAAGAGTTCATGTGCCAATATTTTTCAGTTTGTTTTCACTAAGCTGTGTGAATGGGGAGTGTTTTTTTTTCTTTTAGCAGAAATAGGCTTCTGATGGTGACAAAGATTCTTTTTCTATAGAAAAATGTCCCTCATTGGAGCACCAATAATTTTGTAAAAAAATGATTTGGTGCCTAAATTTAGTACATTTTGTTATTCAGTTGAATTGACTGTATTTAAAAGTTCACAGAAATTGGGTTTTAGTTGTTTTAACTTGTCCTACTTGTTACCCAGTTGCATAGCTTTGAGTTATACATTTCAATTATACTTTTACATGTATTTATTTGGAAGACTTCTTTATCCAAATTGACAGTACCCTGAATCAAACTGTGAGACTTTCACAGATAGTTTGATTTTGAAAGTACCATTAATTAAGGATCTAATGGATTTATGGCAGGCTGACACTGCGGGATCTTGGTCCATGGGCTGCCCACATGCGTTGGGTTGTCTGGGTGATGGCCTCTGGAGGAACTGCCTATGTGTTCTTCTTCCATGAAAGGTGAGCTTGTGTTTGACAAATGATTAAGAGTGTTCATTTCTAAATGTTAGATTTCCAAAAGGTCAAATAGAAAGAAACAAGGCAAATTTTTCTGTCACATATTGACCATTTTCAATGACATTTCAATGCCAATTTTAGATTTACAAAATTAGATTTTTGTAAGAAATAACAGATTTTTCAAATGTTTTGATTACATCACCCTGCATCATATTTGCTGAATTAAATCAAATACTTGTTTCTTACTAATTTTGAGGTGCTGATACCAAAAGTAGTGCCTGTTTTGCTCTGACACATCACAGTTTTTCACAGAATATGATGTGCATTTTATTATATTTTTTTAATTTAATTTTTGCATTTTGCTACAATTTGTAAGGTGAAGAATTATTGTAAGCAGAAAAATTGCCACAAAGACATAATTCCTATCTTCCTCTGAACCAGGTTACACCTATTTGTTCAGTTCTCAGACGATTTTCACATGTATGATTGATTGTGAAGACATTATTTTATGACTAAACCTGATTTCCATTTTTCTTCCACTCCTTTGCAGATCGTAAGTTAAATAAAATACTATTTTTTTTTGTTATTTTACATTTGACTGCTTTTTTTATTATTATTATTTTGATAGGTGCATTAAAGGATTAGTTAATTTGCTGAAAATGTACTCAAACTCAATCTATCCAAGATGTAAATGAGTTTGTTTCTTCATCGGAACTTCATCGGGTTTGAAGGAATTGAATTACATCACTTGCTCACCAATGGAACCACTGCAGTGAATGGGTGCCGTCAGAATGAGAGTTCAAACAGCTGATACAAATCTCACAATAATCCACAACACAACTCTAGTCTGTCAAATGAAGTGAAAGGCTGCTAGGCTTTTTAACTTTAAACCATCACTTCTGCCCTAATATGAGTCCATAATTCTATAATGTGTGATAATGCAAAATTTCTCCAAATATGTTCTGATGAAGGAACAAACTCATCTACATCATGGTCCGAGGGGAAGTAAATCTTCAAATTTTAAACATGATACATATCATTTGAAAAATCTAGAGAGAGAAAAATCTAAAACATAAATACATATTACTTGAAACAGGTTTTGAAACAAAACTGTACTTTTCTGCTCTACAGGTGAACATGTTTCTTGCATCCTTTGTGTTACAGGTTTAAAGTTGTAGAGCTGATCTGTTACATAGCAATGGGTGTTTTCCCCGCTCTCGTTATCCTCTCTATGGTAAGAAAATGAACGCCTATGAATTGAAAATGTCACAACAGACTAATTAGAAATTAATTCAGTGTCTGTCTGTTTTCTTTATAGGCAGACAGGTCAGGTCTGTGTGAGCTGTTGGTTGGTGGTGGGTGTTATGTGTTGGGCATGGTGTTCTTTAAAAGCGATGGAATAGTGCCCTTTGCTCACGCTATATGGCACCTCTTTGTTGCAATGGGATCAGGCATCCATTACTATGCCATCTGGAAGTACCTGTACACACCTGTCAATCAACCAACCAGTACGGCCCGGTGACACACATATGCATACACCTAACCACAAAATCATTTGAATATATATTTGCCACTGAAGTGCTAAATTTCTACTAAAAGCATAAACCGAATTGTTTTATTTTTCTGTTGTGTTTTTGCTAGCGAATGGTTTGACTGATGTAATTCTTGTCACTTATTAATAGGTCTTTAACTAGCACATACAACAGAAATTACATCTAGCCTTTGTGAGACTACAAGCAGCAGGGGTCATTTTGGACCTGATGCCATGTGCAATCCTGAGACTGATAAAGGATCCAGAACAAGAACGTTTCTTGGAAAATTATGGACGTATTACATGAAGGTTTACAATTTTTTAAAAAGGTACAGAGCAAAGTTAAAAGCACTGCCAGATATTTGTAAAAACACTTAACCTGAGGTATGTTTCCCAAAAGCATCACTAGCTAACTATGGTTGCAAGTTGCATTGAACTCTATCGGTAACGATGGAACTTGTGACCATAGTTGCTTTTGGGAAACGCACCCCTGGTTTGTAATTACTTGACTACAGTTTAAAGGTATTTCTGTAGGGTTTTTAAACCGACTTGGGATTATTCTACTAATCCTGCAACTGCCAGTGTGGAGATATTCTTATTTATGTGAGAAATATGAGTTCATTTCATATTACTGTACAGTACACAGTATCAATTCTCCATGCTTCTAGTCTAGTGCTAGTCTGTTGCATTTTTGGGTGTGTAATGTCTTTGGAAAATGCCATAAGTGCTTGATGACAATGTCCAGGAAAAGATTTACCTGGACAGGTCATCTGATTTCATGGTTTAATGGAAAAGTTTAGATTCTTATATTATGATTGTGCACTGTTTTTTTTCTTTTCTGGTCATTTTAAAATGTGCTTCATGGTAACGTCTATTAATTGGTATTAATCAAGTAAAAATATTGTTTAATAATAATATTAAATGACTGTCTCAACTTGACTACATTATAGGCTTACACCAACAAAAAATACTTTTGAGGGTTGGGTCATAGAGAAATAGCTCATTTTTTACAGTTTTAACAGTATATTGAGACTTGCATGGGGCCAGTTTAAAGGCTTTTGCCCATTTTACTGCATTCCATTTCAGTGAAAATCTGAAAACAAAAAAGTGTTTTATCGAAGATGTTATTTATTCATTTCAATTTACAGCTGCTGTAGATGTTGTATTATGGATCATTTTATATGAGCACTTAATAGGGTATAAAAACATATACACTGAAAGTTGACAGCTATTTGCCTTAATCATTTAAAGGTTTCACAAACAGGAGTATAAACTACATTTTGAGAGAATATTGATGTACTGACTTTAGTCAGATTCACCCCAAATTAGTTTGAGAGTCATTAAAGAAACAATTCACCCAAAACTGAAAACTGTCATCATTTACTCAGCCATGTTTTGTTCCATACCTGCATTTTTAAATTCTTCTTTAAATTAAATGTTTAGGCTGCTCTTTTTTTATGCAGGCTTTTTTCCGCCACAGGATAAAAAAGGTAATTGCAACTTTTTGTCTCACAATTTGGACTTTTTCTCTTGTAATTATAAGAAGAAGAAAAAAAACCCGCAGAATTGTGAGATATAAACTTACAATTGCCACTTTTTTTATCGCAATTTCAAGGTTATCTCTCACAGGTCTGAGTTTGGAGCAACATGAGGGTGTAAATGATGGCAGAATTTTCACTTTTGTAAGAACTATAATACACAATTAGCACACTTACCATCTTAGCTTCAGTGTTTACCACTGGTCAAGGTTTGTAAATTAGCCATCTGTTTATTGGACTGATCAGCCAAAGCATTTGCTCTCAGGGTTGCCATCTCACTGGTTGGTACAATCACAATTTCTTAAGCATTCCATTTTTGGTGCACTCCCTTAGGCCATGCATATTTTAATAACTGTTTAACATCGAAAATAAACTTGAACATTGTTGTATTTTTAATCAGGGCTAATAGGTGATCAGGGGCACGTTGGTTGTTACAGCTACAGATTGTCAAGTCAAGTTTGACGCAGAAACAACAAGGCTGCAGTTTTTACCTCTCAGACTACTAAACTGAAGTCTATTAAACACGTATTTAAATTTGTATGGCCTTTACAATCATATAAAACTCTTAATAGTTACCAGTTGTAACAGAATATTTGAATAAAACGTGTATTTATTGTTGTACATCTTAAAAAATAGTATTTAATGTATTGTGAATATAGAAAGTGTTTGGTCAGTAGTTGTAATCTATGTGTACACAAGCTACAAATTCATTATAGTGTTGATATTTATGGTTGCTGTGCTAAGATTGAACATTTCGCAAGCATCTCTTTTTGATAAAGATGTTTTATTTGATGATGAGTGAATTTCAGCTGAAATATGACCCTGGACCATAAAACCAGTCATAAGGGTCAATTTTTGGATATTGAGATTTATACATCATCTGAAAGTTGAATAGATAAGCTTTCCATTGATGTATGGTTTGTTAGGATAGGACAATATTTGGCAGAGATACGACTATTTGAAAATCTGGAATCTGAGGGTGCAAAAAAATCTAAATATTGAGAAAATCGCCTTTAAAATTGTCCAAAATGAAGTGCTTAGCAATGCATATTGCTAATAAAAAATTTAGTTTTGATATATTTATGGTAGGAAATTTACAAAATATATTTATGGTACATTATCTTTACTTAATATCCTAATGATTTTTGGCATAAAAGAAAAATCAATCATTTTGACCCATACAATGTATTTTTGGCTATTGCTACAAATATACCCCAGCGACTTAAGACTGGTTTTGTGGTCCAGGGTCACAAATGTGTATGCTATTGAAACACCTCGCCTTAGTAAGTGAACATGTGTTTACGCTTTTAGTGTTGTAACACTCTGTCAGATATGTTTTTGCTCTCTTAAGGATTTAGATGATAGTAAGGGCTGTTTGTGACTAAAATGAATAAGGTTTCAGTTTGAACTTGAAATTGCTTCTGCTCTCTGTCTTGTCTAAGTATAATATCTAAATCATTTTTGAACCAGTGGTAGAATGAGTTTATGTATGTTTCTAAATTATTTAAGACTTTTGTTATTCTGTTGTATTAAGTGTTCTGTTTTTACCATTGTTGATCATTTTTTATCTGTTTAAGTATCTTTGTTTGGTGTATTATGCTTTATGACAAAGTGTTTGTTTGGGGGTTTATGAAGTTTACATCCATTATACAGCTTTCACTGCCAGTCAGCCTGAGATTAATACATTTAGATTTCCTTTGACCTTGAGTTTAGTAAAAAATGTATGGAAACTCGTGTGATGCTTGAGGAGTTGTGTTAGCTAGTTAGAGTGCACGCTGAATGTACAAAAGTCCTTCCTCATACTTTTGAGTCACTAGAATATGCTGGATGGCTGGTGGTTTTAACATGCTAAAATGATTAAAAGCATATGGTTTACTTCTGACTCAAAGCCAAAATAAGATACACTGCAACCAAATAATTGCACAGTTTAAAGCTGGTTTGCCCTGACAAATCTTACTTAAATTATGTATAATGTAGAATTCGGCAAAGTCTGTTCATGATACTTGACACCAAACTTTCATACGTCAGGCTGCCTACCTCTCCTTGAGTTATGAAAAATATTAATTCAGTAAAATTACTGAGTCCTATATTGAAACCGAATCCACTTGAAACCTAACCCTGACCTCACTGTAAATATCATGTGTGCCTTTTCTAGGTGTGTTTCAGAACAGTTCAAGGCTTCGTGTTGTTAGCCATTCTGCTGATTAAAAAGTGAACCTTTCACATGAAGGTATTTGTGATTGTGATTTTGCGGCAATGTTTGTATTGCCCCAGTTTTTGTATTTGTATTAAGACCATGTTATTTCATACCAATGCTTTTTATCAAGGAAATGTCCTTCTCTCATTATTTGAGTCCTGCATTCTATGTATTTTGTATGTCTGTGGGTTGATCAATAAATGCTAAGAATGAAAAAAAAATCCTTGAACACTGTTGTAATTTTATACACGCTTTTGAACCGATTATTTATTACATTGTTCAAGCCTTCTTATAATACTTTTTACTGTAAAAAGTTCATGTTGAATACAGTTGTATACTGAAATAGACATTTCTTAACATTTGATGTAAATGTCATTTCATATGCCTTCAATTAAATCATGTTTTATCGATCATGTCAAAATTCTGTACAAATGAAATTTACAATCTGTATTATATCATTGTGCTGTAATATCTCAGCCAGCAGTTCCACCTCCCTGTCACTAGATGTCGCATTGTAGTTTGGTTTGATTTCTTTGTTACCGCCTTGTGATCATTTTCTGTATTTTTTAGTACAGGCTTTGAAAGAATGACAACGTTTTGACAAAATGCAGCATTTGCTCTAAATGCTTATTCAGTTTTATATCAGGGATCAATCCATTCTACCCACAGCCTACAGATTAAAACATTAATGTTGCATGTACAAATGTCTTCAGTGAGCCAAAATGTCCTGGGATTTGAATGAGTGTATGCTTCTTTCTGATCTGCTGAATGTCCCAGTAGAGGGCCCCACTTTACACCCTCAGGAAACTACATATCTATTAGTCATTCCACTGGACTGAATTATTCATAGAGATCTGCCATGTTCTTAACAGACATTTTCAGTAAACTGCCCAAATTACATTAAATGGCTATTCCCAATATCCCTTATGAACATTTGCATAACATCCATTCTTTAACCATTGTATTTGACAATGTAAAACCGTTTTGACTTCTCACTTAGCCTACATTATTTTAACTGCAGTTTCTAATAAACTATCAAATAGTACAGCCGAAATAAGTAATACTGTACTAAAATTGAACAAATTAATTAATACATTAACTCACTCACCAGAAAGAATAATGGGTATGGGCCTAACATTTAACATGGTATTGAAATAATGCTAGTATGTAGGCCTATTGTTAAGTAGACTATTCATAGTTTTATATGAATGCTATGAATGTGAGTGTTTTCTTTCACAGTATGGGTGTTCTCTCCTTATTTTTATTTTTTTCAGAAACAGCGAGTAGATAAATATGGATCATAGCCATCGGAATATAGCTCACTAGAGCTGAACCAGACTATGCATTTGCACACATAGTGACACCAAAAGGTACAGTATACCCAAATTTTGGAATGACTTTTCATCAACCGGTGTAGTATTTTTAGTGGATGACCCCTTTTGGTGAAAGAGCCCCCTTGTGTAAAGAAGTACACTTTAGAATAATATGCTTAATATATATATAGGCCTATATATATATATATATATATATATGTGTGTGTGTGTGTGTGTGTGTGTGTGTGTGTGTGTGTAGATGTTTTCAAAATGAATAATGTTTTCAGACATTTTATGCTATTTGCAATTAAATGAAAATGTAGTTTGCATATAGTAGCCTATGCAATTAGTTGAACTTAAGAGTGCTGTTTTTGACCCATTTACATCTTTACATGTAATTTCATAATTCTGTTGTCTCATAATTATTGTATTAAGTATGGTTAAAATGCACTTCCAAATGTAGGCTACTGACAATGTATAAACTGAAATATATACTGTCATTACTGAAACCTTTATGTCATGTATTTAAATATATTTGTAATTACACATTTGCAGATGAAGTTGCAGTTTTGGGCCTTTTAATATTATTAAAAAATATTATAATATTAAATAAAACTAGCTTTAGTATGTTAGTCAACACATCAAAATAAGTGTACTTCTATGTACTTCTATGTTTTAAAAGGTAAAACATCAAATATGACAATTTAACATATTGCACTTTTTAAAAGTGTGTATACTGAAGTGTGTGTACTCTCTTATGAATCTACACTTATGTGGCCTTTTTATTTCAGTAATATTACATGCAAGTATATTTTTAAATATATACTTTTAAGATTTGAAGTGCACTACAAGTGCAGCCTAGGCCTACATTAAATACAATTAAGCGCACTTCTTTTTCACAAGGGCCCCTCAAGTTAAGAAAGGTGTTGTAGATGAGCAACCAGGTGTTCATCACATCAACATTGAATTCATTTTGGTCAGTAGTAGGCCTATATTTAAAACACGTTTATTTTAAAATATTTATAGTTGGCCGGTAGTCACAATGGTGTTATTCTCGCAAATGAAAACGAGTCTGTGAGGGATAGATGCGCAGTTAGTGTGTTGTAGCTTAGGCTACTGTCGTGTCTAAACTCACGACACGTTTTCCAGATTTTTCTCAATCGACAGCAAAGTTGAAAAACATTACAGCCCGGAACAGACTGCATGTTTGTCCCATACAGCATACCGCCTGCCTAAACATCTATTACATTGCAAGTGTAACAATACGCGAGAGCTTGGAGTTCTCGGTTCGGCTTTTTCCGGCTGCAGTCGGCTCAGGGAATGCACACGCCGAAGCATGCAGACTAGTGTAGCCAGTGGAGACGGGCAAATAAAGAAGGGGAAAAGGGATAAACAGCTCCAACGACTGCCCAAGAAGAGCATCGAAACATAAAACCAGCAGGTAAATCATTCCGAACATACTACCAACAGATTTCTCTATACTGATGCATGTTTGACACCTCTGTACAGGTAGACGTTGTCGCATTACATGACAGTGACTGGGCGGACCTAAACTGTAGCCCACCGGGCCGTAGAGCTAATTTAACATATGAACAAGACGAAATACTGGCAAATGTCAATAATAGGAGTCAAGCGAGCGGCTTGTGAGGGATCAGAGCTCTGAGACTGGCTGGCGGAGCCCCGTTAAGAAGCACAAGCGGATTAGGACTCGCGAGCAGGTGCCTTTGTTGGCTCGCGCCGTTGCTAGTGGAGACCCGCAGTAGCCCGACGCGCTTCTTTAAAATGAATGCCTCCAAATGAGCGTCTCTTCCGCAAACGGGGAATAAAACGCGCTCGACAGGTAAGGCATACTCTGCAACCTTGAGTTTGATGTTTTTGTAAGTATTTTCAACAACAAAAAAATGAAACTTTTTTTTTATTGTACGTCTTTTAAAAACTACCGATCTTAATCACGCGCAGTTACACTACAGTCTAGTACAAAATGTTTAGGAATGTTAAATTATCCATTCGCATTCAATGTCCTGCACCTTTAAGAATCATAAAACGGGTTGTTTAAATCATTGTGTGCATAACAGAAGAATGCAAAAAGGGAACAAATGAATACTTTAGATGTACGCAGTACCTGTGGACAGATAGATTATTTAAATAGGGGCAGCATGTCAACTACATGCAGTTTGTGAATAGGCTTCACGAGCGTACGGTGAAGTGTTTTCACGCACGAGCAGATGGTCTGCGTTCAGACTGCCGAGTAGTGGGGATTTTAGCTGATGCAGTCTCTCTCTCTCTCTCTCTCTCTCTCTCTCTCTCTCTGTTAGAAGGTGTTTCTCATGTCTGCAGCATTGGAGACACTCATCTCTGCAGTTTATCTATCTATCTATCCAGTGTTCGAACTATACCGTGGACTTTGGGGGAGCCCATTCGTGCGCTTGCGCGTGCCTCAAAAGGGGGCTTACAATGAATTACAAAGA